ACGGAGCCAGCCACTTGCAGTGAGATCAGCATCCCTGGTTACCTGCTAACCAGGGACATTGATCTCCAAACATCTAACTCTCCCTGGCGCCCCGGGAGTCTCCTGCTCCCGGCCGCCAAGGAGAGAAACACAGCTGTGTCCTTTTTTCTCTTAATTCTGACACGATCGATGTCAGAATAGAAAAAAAAAATTCCAATTGAAAAGCATTGAGACATTACTATTAGCTATTTCAATTTGCAATAGCCAATTTGATTTTTTCCCTTTTTCCCTTCTATGTTCACTCGGTAATACTGTAAATAACACACTTCCTGTCTCTGGGTGGTTACCTTCAGTCACTACTTTGTATCAATGGAGGGAGCCATGGGTTCTACTGCTGGACTTTAAACATGTCTCCCTTTGTTCATCTCCATTACATGGGGAAGGTAGTGATGGAATTAATAGTTTACACATGAAATATAAAATTGTTTTTGCTTCCATTTCATCTCATAGGAAGTAACAAGAACACTTTTTTTTGCCAGATCAATAGATATTTTCTGTACTTGCTGAAAATATTCTTAGCCCCAAAAAGTTAAAACAAATGCAGCTATGGGCTGGTAAACTGCAACATGTACAATTTTTGTTCCTGGCTTTAGCTATACTTTAAAAAGACTATCACATTGTCCATGCAGGGCAAAATAACTTTGTCTGTGGACCTCTTAACAACCATATTTTCAGTGTTTCACCATCACTTCTGTCTCTGTTGCTGGCACTGACACTAAGGAGAGTGATAAAGTCACTATTTCGGTCATGTGACAGTGCTCAGGCCTAGCAATTGGCTGACAGTGTTGTCAGAAAGCAGAAGGTCACAAGCTCCAACATACCGTGAAGCACCTGAGAAGAAGGCAGGGGAATGCAAACATTCAAGGTTCTTATTCTCGAAAGAAGATAAATGTTTTGACACAAAATGATCCTTAAAGCCTCTCTTAAATGTTGTACACATGTTCTTTCATATGCTCACTCAACTTTCTAGAGGTACGACCTATATATAACAGACCACAAGGGCTCTGTAAAGCATATTCTACACCAATTGTATTACAGGAGATGAAGTCTTCAATAGTTATGGGTTGTCTTCTCTTTAACCTCCCTGGCGGTATGATTATGTCAGGAATTTTGTACCAAAAGCGGTACAATTTTTTGCATGGAAATTTGGTGTTATGTATTGTAGGCCTGCAAATCTTAGTAACTTAAACCTGACCAAGCAAGACTCTAGTAGACATCCCAGAAGTGATAAAGTTTGAAACACAAAATCATGAATTATAATCTAATAAATAATATAATTTATTCAATAATGTAATAAAAAATAATGAAATTTGTCAAACAAAGAAAATTCAATAAACATCCTGAGTGTGATAAATTTGGAAGCATGGGACTGCACAAAGTCCGACGTCACAATCAGGACAATGGAACCTGGTTTCTTTTCGGACTTTCTTTCCATCACCATCTCTCTTTGAGCAGCAAACTACGCACATCCTGGTAGGTGCTGCCTTTTTTGCGGTTGGCGGGATGTAGTCCATAAAGTGACGACCAGTCAGGCGTTCTGGCGTGACAACGTCAACAGCGCAACATCCAGGTCTGTTCCCAGCTACTGATGGCGTCTGGTGGTTGAGAAAAATCCACTCAGCCCCCTTCCAGATAAGCTCGGAATGAACAAGAGGCTTGTCAATCTTTGCTCTGTGCAGGATATATGTGAATATTCCTGAACTTTGTTTTATGATTTATCTCATGGTTACTTACAGTAAAATTGTGTGAATGCATCAGCGCAGTGCATGTTATCTCCGCTTGCAGAGCTCGGATTCATTGAATGAGTTTACCAAAAATGTAGATATTGCAGAATATACAGCCTCATGCTAAATAACTAAGCTCCATTTCATGCTGAATAAACTAAATTATTAATGTATCTCAAATCATCTCTGAATTGGTGCCGACACTGTCCTTCCTTCTGGAGGGGGGCTACTTTTGTTCCCCATGGTCCCTGTGTGTGTTGTAAAGTCATCACTGATCCAAGCTCACTCCCTGATAGACTACAATCTCATGTTTAGTTTACTAATTTGTATAGAGACGACTTTACAACACACACAGGGACCATGGGGAACACAAGTAGCCATCCTCCAGAAGGAAGGACAGTGTCGGCACCAATTCAGAGATGATTTGAGGATCTACAGCCGAGTGATACACAAATAACATAAATCTTAATAGTTGAGGCACTGGAATGTTATTTTTAAGATTCAACTCCTGAGTTTGGTGTCACTTTAAATAGGAAGTTCACTTTTTTTGACCATGTTTCATGTCAGGCCCATTATTTGTGTAACATGAAACATGGTCACATCCCCAGCACTTTGCCTCCCCATGTACCTGAATCTCGGAGCCCACACAGCCACGTGATCCATTGACCAGATCTGTGAATACAGAGACTATTATTTCTGTCTGCCATTGTGGTAGAGCGACTTGTGGTCATCAATGAAGTACAAGTATGGTGACTATTAATCCATACTTCCTCCCATCCCTTTACTGAAAGTCAGAGCTTTGCACCCATGATCTGCTAATAGCAGTTGCCCTTTGTGCAAGCTGAAATGCAAAAAAAAGTAATCATTGCATATTTGTTTTCTTTTCATAATGTGTGTGCATATATATGTACTGTGATTATATACTGTAATATACAGTGCTATAATGTTATTTATATATGTGTAATGTAAATGTGTAAGCCGTATTAGTCCAGTAGAGAAGATGTATAAAAAAACAAAAACAAAACGTAGTATTGTAGTATGCGATGATACCTTTCTTATTGGACTAACAAAATATATAAAAGACAAGCTTTCGAGAGTTAACCTCTCTTCTTCAGGTCAGAAGCAATACTAATCAACATGACAACGTTTACCACTTAAAGCAAGAGAAAGTTGTTAGGGAGGCGGGGTGAGTGGGGTGTCATAAATGTTGGACCTGTGAGTAAAGAATGTATTCTGATAACTAGAACACAGAACAAATAAACATAGGATGACCACTAAATCCTAAACAGATCAGGGATATACAACATACATGAATATTATTATGTTCTGTATATTCTGGTAGTGTGTAAGAAAACCATAATCCACATTAAGTCCCTCCTTTATGGAATTGAAATGTAAAATCATTTTTATTTCAAATGTTTTTCTTTCATGAGAGTTTTTAAAATTCCCTTTCAGTACTTTAATATTGAGGTTTTGGATGGAGTGATCTTTCTGGGAGAAGTGATGTCCTACTGGGGTCCTACTGGGGTCCTACCTTTGTCACATGCTGAACACTGTATCATATAAACCACGTTAGCAGATGTACATGAGTATGATCCCTTAATGGTGTACATGTTGTTGTTGTGACTCGCTGTATTCTTGTCACATATATGTTGACAAAGTTTGCAGCTGGGTTTTTTGCATTATACTGCGCCATTCTGTGTCTGTTCCTCTTCTCCTCTGGGATCAGCTTATTGCGTACCAATCTTCTTCTCAGGTTCAGTGGTTGCTTGAAAGCCAGTATTGGGGGCTGAGGGAAAATTTTTGAAGTATGGGGTCTTCTGAGAGTACTGGCTGTAGATCTTGACACTAGCTCTGCCCAACTGTTTGCAGTTGTACGGCAAGCGACAGGTGAGCCATGATTGGGCAAAGTCATCATTGCTTTGCCCAATCATGGCTCTTCAGTGCACTGTGCCGTGAATGGGCAAAGTCTTGCACCTGACCTGTGGGCTTCACAATCAGGGCTTCACAAGTGCGGTGCGCAGTGCTTTGTGGGCCGCTCATCGAACGAATAGCCCGCCGAACGCCCTGATAGTTCGTGTGTACGCCGAACACACGAACTAGCGATGTTCGAGTCGAACTCTTGGTCGACTCGTACATCGAGCCCAACACTATTCTTTATATAATCTGGTTCTGTATGGTTTTATTTAGAACTAACTATACTTGCAAATGTCCAGACCTTTTACCAGTGAGCCCACCCAAACAAGTTTGTCCATTGATTTAAAACTATTGAGTATAATCACATATGCCTAAATTGATGAGCTGTTATAATTTTTTTGCCTGAGATAAGTCCTAGCAGATAATGCTTTTTACCTTTAAAGTGATATTAACCTCCCTGGCGGTATGATTATGTCAGGAATTTTGTGCCAAAAGCGGTACAATTTTTTGCATGGAAATTTGGTGTTATGTATTGTAGGCCTGCAATTCTTAGTAATTACTTACTTAAACCTGACCAAGCAAGACTTTAGTAGACATCCCAGAAGTGATAAAGTTTGAAACACAAAATCATGAATTATAATCTAATAAATAATATAATTTTATTCAATAATGTAATCAAAAATAATGAAATTTGTCAAACAAAGAAAATTCAATAAACATCCTGAGTGTGATAAATTTGGAAGCATGGGACTGCACAAAGTCCGACGTCACAATCAGGACAATGGAACCTGGTTTCTTTTCGGACTTTCTTTCCATTGTCATCTCTCTTTGAGCAGCAAACTACGCACATCCTGGTAGGTGCTGCCTTTTTTGCGGTTGGCGGAATGTAGTCCATAAAGTGACGACCAGTCAGGCGTTCTGGATTGACAACGTCAACAGCACGACGTCCAGGTCTGTTCACAGCTACTGATGGCGTCTGGTAGTTGAGAAAAATCCGCTCAGCCACCTTCCAGATAAAGTCAGAATGAACAAGAGGCTTGTCAATCTTTGCTCTGTGCAGGATATATGCATTCCAAAGGCATTGTTCCAGAAGATGCCTGAAGATCTTCTTATAATATTTTTTTTGCTGTTTGCGCATAGCCGGATAAAATGTCATTGCCTGATCGGCTCTGTCGACACCTCCCATGGTGTTATTATAGTCTATCACAACTTGCGGCTTCAGCACATCTTTCCCACCTTTTGTGTGGACCATGGCAGTGGAGGTATTGTGCTCAGTACTCATAAGACACACGTCCTTCTTGTCTCGGCATCGCATTGCCATCATCTTACCCTTCTGCCAGGCAACCATTTCTCCGGTTTTGAGTTTTTTCTTGGCAAACATAGATGGCATGTCACGTCGGTTAGGCCTAACGGTACCATATGCATCAGTCTTGTTTTGTAGCAAAACATGGTTGCATACAGTTCTGGAGACGTGTAGAAATTGTCTGTGGTCACACAATAGCCCTGGTGCAGCAATGGCTCCAGCAGTGTAAGGACAGATGATGTGGCCATCCCATAGCCGCTGTACCTGGGGTTGAACTTCGTGCCTTTACCGGTGTAAATGACCGAATTCCAGATGTACCCAGTGGATGACTCGCAGAGCATATAGGATTTGATGCCAAACCGCACTCTTTTGGATGCAATGTACTGTATCCAGCTTAGGCGTCCCTTGTAGGCCATCAAACTTTCATCCACGCTGACGTCCCTTTCTGGCACGTAGGTCCGCTGGAAATTGGTCACAATCATTTGGCATACCTCCCAGATTTTTTTTAGTTTGGGCGCAGGATGCGTGGCCTCATCAAATTCTTCATTGTTCGTGAAGTGGAAATACTTCATGATGAGGGAAAACCGGTATTCTGACATCACGGTGCCAAAAAACGGAGTGGCCAGTAACTTATTGGTGGTCCAGTACCATTTCTGGAGCGGTTTCCCCACCACCCCCTGAAGAATGATGAGTCCCAGAAACTGCCAGATGTCCTCTTTGGTCACCGGTTCCCACTTTCTGCTTCTGGAAAACCTGGCATGCAGCGTAGCGGATTGCTGCTCTTGGTAGCGATTTGTCTCCGTGACAATTTTTTCAATTACCTCCTCAGTGAGGAATAATTGCAGGTATGCCAGAGGGTTGTCACGCTCAACATCTACTTTCATCCCAGGTGATCCAGTGAACGGGAATCTTGGGGACGCTACCTGGTCCGTATCGCAGTCAATAGAGCACCAAGTGCGCACATCGCTGAGGTCAGGTGCAGGATCATCGCCGTTGTCACTTGCCAGATCAGTGTCAGACGTGTCAGACGACAAATCTCCCCACGACTCACTATCGCTCACTTCTGCGAGCACCTCCGTGTGGCTGTCACTCAACTGGTCCAAAAGCGCTTTTGTAGTAAAGTGGCGCTTTTTTGATGCCATGTTATAAATATTTTATGAGCACAAATGACAGTAAAATGGCAGGCAAGGGGCACTGTACTGTGATCAAGTGTCAGATCTGAGGTGATACAGTGTAATCCTCTCAGATTACACTGTATCACCTCTTTTATGTGTGTGTCACTTTTATGTTACTTTTAAATTTCCCGCCCAGTTCTGCTCCCAAGCGCCGCTGCTGCTCGCAAGGAACGGAACCAGGAAGTCAGATGCCAGCCGGCGATCATAGCGGAGGACATAGCGGAAGATCACTCTCGCCGGCGATCATAGCGGAGGACATCGCTGGATCGCCAGGAGAAGGTAAGGAGACTCCGCTGACAGCTCTGCAATGTTACCCCGAGCGTGACTCGGGGGTTACCGCTCCTGGCAGAGAAAATTAACCCAGAGTCACGTTCCTCCTTTTAACATTTCTCCTTACATGTGTACAAGCATAGCAGGTATTACATGCATGAAACCCTTTTGTGTCTGAAAATGTGAGTTGTTTTGGGAGCATCCATAACAGTTTTAACTCATCTGTCTCTCAAATGTCTATACACCTAGGTCAAGCTGGAAGTATGCCCCCTAACTGTCTGTCTAACTGAAGTATATTCCAATATTTCTGTATAATATGTTCAATCTCCTTATATTGAATATTGTAATCTAGAATAAATGCTAAAATGCTAATTCCCCATGATTCTTGCCCCCCTCTTGTAGAGATTTGACCTTATCTAACAACATAACCTTTCTATCAATGTTGGTCACTTTCATGAATTCATTATCTAGGGACTCCTGTAGTGTATTCCTTTTCCAAAAATCTATCCTTCAGGACCTGGGATTGTGACACAAAATCTAAATCTTTCAAGCAGTTTCTTTTGATTCTTAAAAATTCACCCCTTGGTATGTTCTGGATCCATGTGGCGTAGTGGCAACTGGATACTGGAATGCAAGCATTACTGTCTGTCTCTTTGAAAAAAGTTCTAACCATAAGTTGTTCATTCTCAACATATACATCTAAATAAAAAAAAATCAGAGATTGTTGGCTAACTTTATAGGTAATGACAATATTTTTAGTATTATTGTTAAATGTGTATAAAAACTCATCTAACTCCTTTCTTGATCCTTTCCAAATGAAAAATATGTCATCTATATAGCGTTTATATGATGAAAATATTTGTTTAGTTTGTTATTACATATTAGTGCACGCAGCAGGTGTTATTATTATCAGAGCGAGATTCCATTTGTATTTAGCTTAAATAATATGCTTTTATGTTTTTTACTCCCAGAATATGAGTCACTGAAAAATCAATAAATGCATTTCCCAGTGGAGAATCAAGGCTAACTCCATGAGAAGATCCAGACTACGAGTTTCCCCTTGGAGATTTAGTGTATGTACACCACAGCCGTGGTGTTTTGTAAGTTATCACAGAAGTTAACCAACACACACGAAAAGAAATTCCAATATCAATATTTCATTGATACATCTATTTGCAAAATGTCACATCATGTCATCTGAGGCTAACGTGTCAGGACCTCGCAGGGACCCTTCATCAGAGCAACACAGTGACAAAATACTTTTGTGAACACCAAGTATATATGCACATCAGGCCAGGTGCATGAAGAAGTATCCCATTCTGTCATAATGACGTAATTCCTACCAGAATTCAAATAATGCACTTCACATAATATTGTAAAAGAATACGGTTTAGTGAGGCACAAAACAAAAACTCAAATCTCCAAGTAGATTAATAAAATGGTTACACATATTCCAGTGCTGTTTATATTTGAAAAAGGGTTCATTTGTAAGATGTCGCTGCCCGATATACCAAGCATCCCCAGTGGCCATAGAAACCATTGTGGCGTGGAGAGTGGAGCGAGGCAATCAATACAATCCTGGCCAGGATTCTGACTCAGACTGTGCATGCACTGGAGGCTATAGAGCCGCATCCGGCATCTCTCTGTTGCTAGGTAGCGGTCGGAGTGGCGATACAAAGCTGTCAGCCGCGGCCGCTGTGTCAGTATGACACGAAGTGAGGGGGAAGCTGAAGAATCACAGCATTATTATCAAACCTGCCGACAAGGGGGAGCAATAGTGGTAATGCACTACTCCCGATTATAAGAGAGGAATGTTGGTATAACTGTCTGACACAGACTGTTACTGTATTTTTCCGTGTATAAGACTATACTTTTTCTTAAAAATATTTACCTAAAAATGAAGGGGCGTCTTATACACGGGGGGCCGAGAGGAGAACCGCGGTTGCGAAACTGCCGATACCTCTGCAAACTAGCCTCACGAGTGAAACTTCCGATTGTAGAGACAAGCTAACAGGTTTCCTCCAATCATGAGCCTTATGTACCCGACGTCAGCTTATGCTGCGGAGAGCGTGTCGCCAGTGCCCAGATGCAACAGGGAGCCCATAAAAATGTCAGAAAAAACAAAAAAAAATACTGGTACCAGTAAGCGGCTGTCTTACTCTGCAAAATTTAAACTGGATGTAATCAGTTATGCAAAAGAGCATGGAAAATATTGATTTCTGAATTTTGGGTAAGAAAAGTGGGGGGCGTCTTATAGACGGAAAAATACGGTATGTTCCCATAACGTGTGATCCTATTAGCAATATATAGGAGAAGTAAATTGATCTCATGGAGATTGCTCTGGGCAAGAGATGGATTTCTGAAGGAACTGCTGGGTTTTTACGCATAGAATATCCCCGCACACCAGTAATATATGGTCTACAAAAAGTGCATAAGGCATACCCCAATAAAATGTAAGCCTATTGTGTCTGGTACAGACTCCGTCACTCAGCCACTAGCTAAATTAATTGATTTTTGCCCTACAACCACTGGATAAATCACTTCCATCATATGTGAGAGACACCGGTGACTTTCTGAAAAAACTATATGAAATAGGTTTCCAACAGGACCCTTCTCACAATGGACATCTCGTCCTTATATACATGCATCCCCACAGAAATGGGGCTAAGAGCTGCTGAATACTTTCTTCTTCTTGAACCACCTACTGACTTACGTCAGTGGAATGTTTACGTTTGATATTGGGCAATAATTACTTTAGTTTTTAAAAAAGTTTCTACATGCAGACAAAAGGGCAAGGCCATGGGAAGCTCTGCTGCCCCCTCCTATGCAAACCTATTTGTTGGTTTAATGGAGGTTTAATTTTTCCATCTGTTCACTTCAAATATGTAAAAATGTGCGTTAGATACATTGATGATATCTTTGTCATATGGACAGGCACGCATGATGCTGCACATGCATTCGTATTGTTTTTGCAACAGAGATTGTCTTTAATCCTGAGATGTCACATACCTTCATATTGTTCCTTGATGTGAGAATAACAGCCAAGAATGACTGTCTGTCCACCTCTCTCTCTAGAACAAACCTCCTGACCGTAACACACTACTTAACTATCACAGCACACACCTGAAAAGTTAAGACGCATTCCCAATATAACAGTTCTTAAGGGTCATGCGTAATTGTTTGGACAGTGATGACTGTGAAACCCAGTTAAGGGCCATGTCTTGTAAATTTCTGGAGAGGGGATACCCTGAAGGCGTTTTACAACGCACATTAAAATCCGCAAGAAATAGACTACAATCACCTAAGTCTATATCCAATGAAAGCGAAAAAACTACATTCATCACTACATACAACCACGAATCACATGACATTAGGAAGATATATCTATACAGAATACAATGTCAAATTCAGTGGGGTTTTAGCGGTAAATCACAAAACACTTGTATTCACATCATAAAAACATGTTTATTAATCAAATTTAAAACAGCATTCACAGAGTTAAAAACAGCCTTCATGCCAAAAATGTGATATTGTATAATGTGTGTGCAAAAGTGAAGATATTTTTCTGAACGGCAATTGGTTAAACAACCTCCTATAAGCCGGCTGTCCCTCATGAAAGCAGCAGTAGCAATGATTTTCCATTGTCTTGTATCACAGCAGTGATCCCATCGTATGAAAACTTATTGCTTTCAGAGAGTAAGTGGGTCGATGATGGTTCATGTCTCAACGTTTTTCACTATAGCCCTCTCACTCTTCTGGAGAGGGGTGTTCTAAAGTACCACTAAATGTGAATGCCTTCAAAAACAAGGCACATGCCTTCAAAAACTATAATTTACTTAAATTTTCCTTTTACTGAAGCAACCACTTTTAATGCACTATAACTTTTCATTACTTACTAATATGTAATGTCTTAACTGTCACACTTTATTTGCTGAAGCCAATGGTCATAAATTAAGTAGAGAAGAGAAGTAAGCTCCTATATTTTTTTGTGCCAAGAAGACAAAAAATACAATTAGAGGTTGTTATGTCAAGACTCTTAAGGTTCTGAAATGGTTCAGGTAACTTCTGGTCTGCAACATACACAAGTAGAACATTACCCTAAGTGCTTCTCACACAGATAAGTGCTAAAAGCCTGGTTATAAAATAACTCATGAGTCTGTAAGGACATTATACTTGGCCATTTTAAATGAAGACAAAATCACCATATTTGCAAGTTATTTTATATTCTCACAATAAGCAGGTTCATAGCTATAAATAAAATATGATATTTTATAGATATAATCATGTAGAAAGTTACAGAAACTCACAATGAACTGTAGAAAAGTCACTCCGACTCCTTGATAATGTAAGAGCATTCTCCTTAGCCTTTATACCCCTTTCAACAAGAGCTCTTCCCTTGACTTCCGGTTCCGATGCCCTATGGATTAGCTGTGTGCGTTTCGGCTCCAACACAACACACCAGGAACACAGGATAAATCAAGACGTCCGGATTATTTTTTACCTCATACGGCACTACCGTATCACGGAGACCTGCTGCGGGTGATGGACAAGTTCCTCTCTCGCTCGCAAATCATAAAAAAATCACTCTTACCGGACCGCTCACAACGGCGCGAGAAATCCAAGATGGCGGATCGGGAAGCACACATACAGCCTGTCCCTGCAGAGCCTATGGGTGAGTCACCAACTGTCACCTCAGA